AAAGAGAGAGCCGGGCGCTGGTGGCTCACGCCTGTAATCCTAGCTACTCAGGAGCCTGAGATCTGAGGATCGCGGTTCAAAGCCAGCCCAGGCAGGAAAGACCTTGAGACTCCTATCTCCAATAAACCACCAGAAAACCAGAAGTGGCGCTGTAGCTCAAGTGGTAGAGCGCTCGCCTTGAGCTGAAGAGCTGAGGGACAGCACCCAGGCCCAGAGTTCAAGCCCCACGACCGACAAAAAAAAAAAAAAAGAAAGAGAGGAGGTCAAGGAATTGCACTGTTTCTCAGGGGCCAGGGTGGTGGCTGCCACCTGAGAGGGAAGCAGCAGGATTTTCAGGCATCCTAGAAAGAGGTAATCAGATTCAGCCTGATAATTAGATTTTCCCACAGAAGAAGAAACAAGCCTTGAAGGACCAGACATAGTGGAGGCTGAACAAGGGGAAGGAAAGAGGTACACTCTGAAGTGACCCTCTCTTGCCTCCCAGAGTGCTCACATTGTCACTCAGCAACCCCAATGATCATATAGGGAATGACTCCCATGTGTAGAGGACCCTCTAATAGGGACCCAGAACTCTGGGGCCATAGAGCAGTCCCAGCACCAGGAAACCCCACCTTACTACAACCCTCAAGACTCAGTCTTTCCTGCATATCTGCATGCATATCAACATTTCCACAATCCTTGTTTGAGATCTTATCTTTGGTTATATCACTTGTCTGTCTGGTCAACTATTTGCATTTGGCAAATTTGGCTTTCTCTGTCTTGTCCCAGCCTGGGCATAGTGCTGTCCTTTTGAGCTTATCCAGAAGCTCAAAGCTAAGGCTTACCCCAGTAGGGGTGATGAAAATGACAGGGCCCCCCACAAAGCCTGGCCAACCCATGTAGGCTGTAGGCAGCAAGTCTCCTGTGCTGGCAGGGCTGAGGGTAGGGAACAGAGGCAATTCCTACAATGTGCTAGACAGAAAACAGGCTTTGACTGCACCAGTTTTGAGCTACTTCTTATTGTCACGTCTTCGTCTTCAGGGTGTGCACAGGAAGAAGTAGGAGGCTCAATGTTATCAGTTCCCTTCTGATAGGTGGCTGATAGGTGGCTGGCAAGGGCTCATGGTTTGCAACACAGGCTTCTTCCTTTCCCCCTGCTGGCCTATCCCTTAGGAAATTCCTCCAATTCCTGTACCCTGATTGGACTCAGCCCCATAATTTGATTTTCCAGAGCAGGGCTTTGGCTGGACTCCTTCTGAGGAGGAATGTCTGGGTCAGCAGGAAGACGTCAAATGTTGGTTTGAGTTTCAGAGGAAAGATTCAGCTTCTATGTCCAAATCTTTCTGATGATTCCTTTGCTCTCCACGAGAATGAGTGTGACCATATCAGTCCTGGAGGGTATGGGCACAAAGATTCCTCCTTCCAGTAGTGTGGCAAAGTTTGGCATTAACCCACCTGCCAGCAAACTCACCATCAATTCCTACACCCATGTATCCATCTCTCCCCCCCACCCCAGCTATCCATTGTCCCACGTCTAATTTTCCATCTGCCAGCTATATGTTCATCTGCCTTTGCATGTAACAAACCACCTTCCCTCTACCCTCCCATTGACCTATCATTTTCTCATGACCATCTCTTCATCCTTCTGGGCACACACCTATTCTCTCATCCATCCATCGACTCCACCTTCCAGACTCCTTCTTTTCTTCCCTCAAACTCACCCACTAATCTACCCACTCATCCATCCATTCATCTACTATCCCATCTACCCATCAAGCCTTCTGCCATTCACCCATCTGTTTCTTCATCCCCTATCTGCCCATCTGTCTGTCTACCCGCTACGATCTCCCCATCATCCCATTCTGGTATTCACCCATATGTCTTCTCATCCTCTGACTTGCCCATCTGTACTTCACTCTTCCTCCACTCTCCTTTGTATGGCTTTTTCTTCCAGGTTTCTCCCCTTGTGCCACCAGCTTCCCAGAAGGTTTCTGTAAGAGTGTGGGGGTGTGGACACTCTTGGCATTCATAGCCAGTGTTTGTTGTGCTAAAACTATGCTATCATGTTAATTTGGCATTTGCATTTTCAGGGTTTAATCTCACTCCCTAACACCTTCCTGAAGTTTCTGGTGTTTTCTGGCATTTGTGTTGTCATATAGTTCTGGTGTGTAGTCACTCTGGGGTGCCCAGGAGTTGCTCCTTTTTACTGCTAAATCAATCAGTCAGGCACATTTGGTAAGAAGCAGCCCCCTCTGAGGGAAAACTGAAGCTGGTTTCTGTGGTCTGGGTGAGGTCTTGTGGGATCTGCCTGGCAGGCAGTACTGACCTTCCCACATCAGGGGAGCAGGCTCAGATGAGCCCCTGTAGCATTGCATTTTCCAGTGTGTCCCCAAGGCATTCTCTGGGCCCCAGCATAACTATGCCTGGTGTTTGCCCCCACCCAAGATCTAATAACTGTCCTTTCCAAGCCCCAGCTGGGAAAAAAAAGTCTTTAAAATCTCCATGGTCCGTCTTAAAAATTCATGTATTTTGCTTTCCATGATACTGCATATTTATTGTTTTAATATAAAACAGTATTTTCAGTTACCATCCAGAAAACGCTCCTTGGGGTGCTTGGCCTGGGTCTTTTATGTTCACACATACTCCTGTGTACAGTCCCAAGGAGGCCAGCACATGTGGAGACTCTCTTGCTCTGTCTAGGGGTACAGTGCCCCACCCAAGGGCAGATAGAGGTTATACACAGCCTGGGAAAGAGCAGGGGCCCAGCAACCTGGCCTCTGCTCTCTAGTGGGCACAGTCAGTGTGACCAGTTTTAGAGGTTACCCAAGAGCTACACGGTCATTTTGTTATGATCTGACTTGGGCAGTAGAAAGCCAGTGTGGGATTTGCAAATTTCTCACTGCAGCCTCAGAATTCTGGGCCCCCAGCCAGCCTTCCGCTGGGCCTCGTAGGCCCTTTCATAGTAGGTCTTCTTGTACTCCAAAGCTGCAACATGCTTGGGGAAGGGGGCTCAGGGATGGGAAGCTGTTCTAACCAGCGGTGGCCTGGTCCTGATGGATGGGGATGAAGAGGCACAATGGGATAAAACCAGGGGTCATTCAGGGACCCAAGTCTTTGTACAAGGAGGGAAGAGAGCTCATGGAGTCAGTGGCTGTTTGACAGGACCTGATTGCCCTCCTTCAGGGCAGTATACTATCCCCTTTGGCCCTCACTTCTAAGATTCAGTTGAGACTACCAGTGCTTCGTGCACTCAACTGAGTGCTCAAGTGGCTTAGCTGCTGCCATTTACTCTGGCCCTCCAGGGAGCAAGGCCCCACCACACTTACCTGGAGTCCACTACTAGGCTTAACCCATACACACACAAGGCCTAGTGTGTGGGGCATTCTGAGTGCCCTTGCTGTGCTTCTGCGCCGTGTATGTCATTGTGGCCAGAGGACCCAGTTTGTACCTGATTCCTCAACCTCTCTTCTCAATGGTGGCTGTCACCTTCCCAAACAGAAACTTGGTTCATTCTTCAGGCTATGGCTGACTTAACAACAGCTCTTCTGCCCACACCATTGTCCCTGCAAGGTCACATCGACAGTTTTATTTGTGTGACAGGTGTGGGAGAAATGAAGAAAAGCTGTGGAGGCCTATTCTGGCCTCTTGCCTTCACTGGCTCTTAGTTTCTCCAGCTGTTATGGTGCTCGGTCTCATGGCATCTCTTCACTTCTGTGATGCACCATGTCCCTGGTTCTGCAGCACTGGTGTTTCCAAGTCCAGCACTTGGCCTTCTTCTCCAGGGTCTCTGCCACTATTCCTGGCTCTGTCCAGGCCAATGAGCAGCAAAAATGGCTCTCTGTGGGTGTCATCCACTGGGTGTGATATTCCTTCATGGGGCCTTTCCCTCACTAAGCTCAGGCTCTATGTTGGTGCAGGAACAAGGGGTCCAACAGGCCAGTCTCAGCATACTGGCATAGGACCAGCTGGGAGCAGGCTCCAAGCAACCCTGGGCATCAAGCCATACAACAAGCTCTGGGCTCTGCGGCTTCATGGATGCACCCTGTTTGCAGCTCTGAGTCTGGGTCTGAGTTCTGCATACTTGGCTTGCTTCTTATTGCCCATGAAAAACAAACACTTTGGTCAGCCAGGGAGCAAACTGCAAGGAAAAGTGCTGGCTTGTCATTGCAGATGCCAAGCTTCCATCATCCTGCCTGTTCCCTTGGTATTCTGGGGCCCACGGGGGCAACACTGTGCCAGGACCTGGGCAGATCTGACTCTCTGAATGCTGGGCCATACATGCTTGTCCTCTGTTTTCTTCTGGATCAGGCCTTTTGCAGGCACAAAGTCTCCAGATTTCATGGGAGTCCCTTCCAGAACCTTAAGCAGGTTTTCACTTTGCCCCTGTGAAGCAAACTCCTGCTCTGGGATGGCAGACCCCTACTCTGGGATGGAGTAGCTGTGAATGGATGGTGGATCTGTGGTCCACAGGCTGGTGCTCCTGGCCTCTTACACACCTAGGAGTCCCAGATACCTGCCAGCAGGGGAACAGGTTCTCCATTCCTGCTCAGTGGCTGCACTGGCTCTGCCACAGGGGCTGTGTGACTGTAAGCAGTCCCTCACCCTCTCTGGCTTCAATTCTGCCCCTGTGATATAGGCCAGTGAGACCCATGAGATTGAGATCAGCTGGCATGTGCTATGGGCAGCAGAATGCTGGAAAATTGTGCTCACCACAGTAGCTCTTGCCCTTCCCAACAGACAGACATGCCCACAGTCCAAAGCTTGTTGGACTTGGCAGGAAGCAGAGGAGCCCAGGTCAAAGCCTGGAGCTGTAACAGGGAGGGAGCTGGCTGCTTCCGGCCAGCCTTGGATTAATGGCTTTTAATTTAGAATTTAATCAATGCAGCTTTCCTCCAGAGAACTGGATGCTCTGGTCTGGGAGTAAGTCGTATGATCTGTGAGTGGAGCAGGCAGAGGGCTTGTGACAGCTTCACGAGACTCCTGCTCTGCCCCACCCTGAGCTTGCTTTGCTTTACCTACAGCTGGCTGGTACCCTGGTCATGGAGGACTGCAATGTGCATTCAGCTGCCAGCATCTTGGCCTCCGTGAAGGAACAGGAGGCCCGCTTCGAGCGGCTGACAAGGGCCTTGGAGCAGGAGAGGCGCCATGTTGCCCTGCAACTGGAGCGAGCCCAGCAGCAGCCTGGTATGGGAGGTGGAGGCGTGGTGAGCAGTGGGCAGCCCCTGCCGATGGCCTGGCAACAGCTGGTTCTACAGGTAATAGTCCAGTGGCTTGGGGAGGGTAAAAATGGCCAAGTGAGGAAACAAACAAGGGGCTCCTAATAGACACTCATTGGCCTATTGCAATATCTGTTGGGGATTCCGGGGGGGTGGGAAGGAAAATGGGTTCCCCTGGGGCTACAAGTCCCATTTGGGTATTCTGGAAACTAATGGAGATTTGACAGGACAGACTAATCCTCAGGTCAGTGCCCACCACTGAGTGAGTCCTTTGGAGCCTAGGCAGCTGGGTAGGGACTGTTCTAGATAGCTCCTGAACAACCTGAACAACACTGAGGGTTTTGCCTACTTTGATGTCTCCCTGCTACCTTGTTCTTCATGTACACGGAAGGTCCCAGGGTTTGGCCTGCACTCAGAGACACCTGGGAGTCAGTTTCTCCACTGGCCATTGTTCTCAAAACTGTGCTTGGTCCCTGCTCATGTCAGTTGTGGAGTCCTGTCTTTTCCACACCCTGAAGACTCTAAAGTTAGGATACACACTGAGGAGTCATACTGCCTGGCCCCCTGATAACACCCATGCATCAGAAGGGTGATGAGGAAATATGAGAGGCAGGATGAGGAAATATGAAAGGGTTGGAGTCTGGTATTATAATTGAGGTTACTGTTATTGACTGAGGTTCTGGCAGTAGGGTGGGGAGTGGAGATCAGCTGTCCCAGCCTCCAGCAGGAGAGGCTTGGGATAGCCAGCCTTCAGTTCTCTGGGTTCTTCATGGAGCCTTTTTTTCCCCTTGCTCAGATCCCTGTACTCCTAAACCTGGCAGCTACCACTCCTGTTCCCATGCATCCCCAGCACCTAGCACATATCACCTTTGTCTGGTCCTGCTGGGAACCATGCTTGGCATATACATGTTGTCAGCCTGGGCAAGTCTGGCTAATTGTGGTTGGAGAGAAAGGAGCAGGTGCTGTACTCTGCTGAAGCTAGCCCTGGACTAGCCTTCCTTTACCAGGGAGCATCAGGCTCGAACCTAAGCAGCTGGGGGATCTGGGATGAGTGATCACTCTTGCACCTGTTTTTGCCTGACAGCGGGCAGGTAATGGATTCTATATCTACACTTACACAGAACACAAGGCCCAGCACAAGTGTACAGTCAATACTGAGTTAAAGTCTCCAGGAGACCACAGGCCCACTGGTGAAGCTGTGTTCCCCAAGCTTCTGATACTCTGTGGTCTCTGGAAGCTAGTATAGTTAGCTACAGGAGACCAGGATGGAGGGAAATGGGTCCCAGGCCCCAGGTATTCCAAATGTACCCTTAAACTCTAGGGGGTAGGAGGAAATGAAACAGTCCAGCTGGGCCAAATGGAGACAATGACAGTCAGTAACTCTGAAGCTGTCTCCCCAGGCGCCAGAAACTCAGTTCAGCCTTTCCAGGCCAGAGCAGGCTCTGTTCTCCATCTCTTGGACAAGCAGTGTAGGAGAAAAGGGCACCCGGAAGGTTGATGCCCTGGTAGGAATATATTCCCACGGTCTGGAGCTACCCTGGCCTCCTGAGGGCTAAGGCCTACTTGACCTTAGGTCATGACCCCTCCCACTCACCCCCCCAACTCACTCTTGATTCTTTTAGGCTGGGATTGGAGAAAGCATGCTTTCCCAGGGCTGGAGCTGGACTAACCAGGATATTGGAGACTCTGGGGGAGGCTTGGGCTGGCCATTCAGTCTTTACAGATTAACCTCCTATTAGTCTAAGCAGGAGTTGCTCTGACATGGTCGGAGTTTTGTTCTGAGAGCTGAGGATGATTGTGAGGCCAGTAGCTGGGTGCTGAGACTAGGGAGGCCAGGGTTGGGTATTTTCTGCTGCTATGCCCCTTGGGGTGCTAACTGCCTGCTCTCATTCTCCACCAGGAAGTGTCCTTAGACACTCAGAAGAGCTATCCTTGCCCAATGGACAAGGCACTACCATATCAAGTCCTGGCCATTGGGCCATTGTCCTTGCCTCAGGCTCCATCATGGTATAAGTGTGTGACTATAGGTCACTAGCAGCTGATGAATTGGGGAGAAGAAAGAACCAGCATTAAGATCCAGGCAACTGTGTCCTACTCACTGGCCTGGGCAGTCATGAATGGAGAATGCAAGGGGTTTGAGGTAAAAAACAACAAACAAACAAACAAACAAAAATCACTCATTCCTCTCCAGATGAGGGAATAGACTAGGAGGAGTGCATAGTTGGCATCTAGAGTGCTTGAATATATTGGCAGTATACCCTGTATGCAGCACACTGAGGGGACAGGGTGTAGCCTTGGAAGATTTGTCTTTCAGAGTGGGGGGTAGGGGAGAAGCAGGCCAGAAGGAAGAAGGATGCCAAGCCTGTTGCCCCTTTTCTTGCTACATCTGTGGAGTTTCACTGGGCTGGCTTCACTCTGCTCATCCCAGAACTTTTTTTTTTGGCCTGTCCTGGGGCTTGAATTCAGGACCTGCACACTGTCCTTGAACCTGTTTGCACTCAAGGAAGGCGCTCTACCTCACTTGAGCCACAGCACCACTTCTGGCTTTTTCTAAGAAGTTTGTTGAAGATAAGAGTCCCACTTTCCTGCCTGGCTGGCTTTGAACTGCGCTCCTCAAATCTCATCCTTCTGAGAAGCTAGGATTATAGGCATGAGCCACTGGTGTCTGGCTACATTTTCCTCATTCTTCATGAAGGGATTTTCTTTGGTGAGGTATGACTCAACGAGCCAGCTACTGCCCTCCTCTCCTCTCTAGTTTTTTCCCCCAGCAGAACCAGATCCTCAGGGGTGGCTGCTGGGAGGTTAGGGATAGAGGAGGCACAACTTGGTAAGAGAAGCACGGATCAGCAACTCAACTCCACCCCAGACACCACTTCCCAGCAGCTCAAAGGCATAGCAGAGAGAGAGATCTGAAGCCAGCTCTGAATATAAGACTTTTAGCTGAAGTCTCACCAGAGAGATTGTGCCACCTACGGACACTCAAGAGTTATCCCTCTTCCTCACTGGTCTACTCTTGGGGCAGGGAGAGTTTGGTCCTTTGTATCTTAAAAATTGTTTTAAATTATCTTTAAGTAGTTGTACAAAGGTTGTCCCATTTAACAAAGCAGTTTATGAATACAATGCATCTTAATCAGTCTCCCCCCTTCAACATTCTCACCCTCCTTCAACCCACTTCTCTTACTTTTCTTAATTGTGTGAAATATATAGTGAATTCTTGACTGCATTCTCTCCCTCTTCCTTCCTTCATTTGCTTACCCCTCTCCCTTTGGCCCCACTCCCACCTTTCACATACCCATTTCCTGGTACTCTTTTGTTGTTGTTCTAGTAGGTAATGAGGCTTGAACTCAGGACGTGGGTGCTGTCCTTTTGCTTATTTGCTTAGCTCCACTTCTGGCTTTTTGCCAGTTAATTGGAGAGAAGAGTCTCACATGCTTTTTTGCCCAGGCTGGCTTTGAACCATGATCCTTGGGTCTTACCCTCTTGAGTAGCTAGGATTATAGGCACCTGGCAGTCCTCTGTATCCTGATGGGAAAAATGTCCAGGACATAATCATACTCCCCTGCAGGCCACTCACCAGATCCACGTGGGGTTCTGAACTCTTCCTTGCAGCCCCATCCTAGGTAAAAGAAATCCTGTAGTGGGGTACTAGTGACTCATACCTGTAATTCTAGCTACTCAGGAGGCTGAGATCTGAGGATCACGGTTTGAAGCCAGCCTGGGTAGGAAAAGTCCGTGAGACTCATCTCTAATTAGCCACCAGAAAACCGGAATTGGTGCTGTGGCTGCAAGTGATAGAGCCGAGCCTTGAGCAAAGAGCTCAGAGACAGCACCCAGGCCCTGAGTTCAAGCACCACGACTAACAACAACAACAGATCCAGTCGGTAATGATGTGACTGCTGTAATTGGACCTCATCACACAGTAAGGATAAACTAACAGCCTGAGAAGGTGGCCTTGTGCCCTGTTCTGGAAATGACCCTGGCTGTGGGGGAACTCAGCTTCCATAACTGTACAGGTGGGAGGTGTGTGTATGCTTATTTGTTAGGGGCAAACAAGTCTGGGAAAGATGACTTAGATGAAGTCTCTTGGCAGGGAAAATGTTATCCCCTGGGGCAAGGGCCTGGAGCCCAGACCAGCTACCAGGGACTAGGGGGCCACCCGGCTGGCCTGGCTGCAGAGCCTCTCCCTCCCTTGCTGGTAAGTTGGGCGGAGCAATGTCCTGCCCCAGCACCCAAGCCCCGCCCCGCCTGGGCGCGGCTCCTCCCGATTGGCTGCTCGCCGAGACTGCCCCCAGATCCACCCCCCGCGGGGAGTGAGTCCGCGGAGCCGGGGCTGCTGAGGCGCCCGAGCAGAGCCGGGTCCATCGCTGTCGTCTCTGCCAGCCTTCATCCTCCTAGTCCCGGTCCAATGCCAGCCGAACTCAGACAGGTTGGAGGGAACTTGGTTCCAGGCAGGGGGCGGGAGCACCGTACTGGGCCCAGCGGCAGAGGGCGGGGGCTCTGGCCTTCCCAAGAAGACCAGCTTTTGTTCCGCTGAGCCGCTGGCCCCAAGCAGCTATTGTCTACGCTCCCTGCCGGGTTGCTCAGGACCTGCCGCGGTGGCGCGAGTGAACAGGCTGCCCAGGCGAGCGCGGGGCGGGGCGGGGCCCGCGGAGGTCTCTGGAGCCCAGGCACGGGAGCAGGGTGGGCGACCCTGTACTCAGAACGTGCCAGAACCGGAGTGGGTGCACCTGAGCTACACCCAAGACAGGTGGAGACAGACTGGAGTGTGGAGACGGAGCCTTCCCAAGCAGCCTCCTTTCTGTGCAGAGGGAGGCTGAGACTGGAGAGGGAAGTCCTTTTAGGCCTCCTGATCCCTGGGGACTTTCTTGCTTTTCCTTTGCGAAGGAACTTCTGGAGCTTAATGGAAGCCCTTTCTGTTGGCGAGTGCACCTGACAGGAGGGGTGAACCAATCCTGCCCATGTGTGAGGCAGGAGGGTCCTGGAGCAATTCCTAGTTGTCTATTTCCTGGCATTGGGATGAAGGAGAAGGCAGGTGGGCAGCCTGTAGACTGCTTAGTGGGGTGGGGGTTCAGTACAGGGGAAACAGGTTGAGTAAACCACCAACTACCAAAAGTCCCATGATGATGAGAGAGGAAGAGCTCCCACACACCTGCCTACTTGGTCTCTGCCTATTACACCACACTGATGTGACCACAGTTTTGGCCACTGACTGCCCAGAGATGGAGCGGGTCAGTGTAGCTAAGAGCTGGGCTTAGAGAAGCTGGGATAGGAGCTCTCCCAAGCTTGCTCTCTAGCCTGCTAGGCAACAGATGCCTTTGGGCCTTTCAGCCCACTTTGCCTGTGACCACACCCCAGCATTCTGCTGCTGTGGGCTTCAGGAGCTGGGTAGAGGCTGTACCAGGGGAGGTGGTGTTTTTGTTTTTGTTTTGTTTTGTTTTGTTTTTTGATGACCAAGGCCTGATGTAGGATATGCTGTCTGTTTGCTTTGCACTCTGCTAAAGAGATTCAGAATTGACTCGTCCATTCTGTCCAGTGGTAGCTGTTTCTGGAGCCCTAGTCCAGAAACTGTGGTCTCTAAACACACATTTCACCTTAACATGTGCCTTCCCTGCACAAGCAGCGCCTTGCACAGGATGGGATAGCCACTTCTGTTTTTCTGTTCTTTATGATACAGACTGTGATTACTCTTTTTTTTGTTTTGGTTGGTTGGTCATAGGGCTTGAACTCAGGGCCTGAGTGCTGTCCCTGAGCTTCTGTGTGCAAGGCTCTACCACAGTGAGCCACAGCTCCACTTCCAGTTTTCTGGTAGGGGTCTCACAGACTTTCTTGCCCTTTATTGCTAGCTTTGAACTGGGATTCTCAGATCTTAGCCTCCTAAGTCTATAGGATCATTGGTATGAGCCACCAGCACCTGACTGGTTGTTCAATTATGAAGTACATCATTTCACATTTTGCTTTCCATCACCCCCTCCCCATCCTTATCTGTCCACATGAATGGAGTAGCACCATGTAACCCTCCTTCCTCTGTGTGAGGAAGCCCCTGTGTATGGAGCTTAGGAATCTCATGTTATGCTCAGTGCTAGGCCTGTGGTAAACATCTAGAAAGCAGCAGTGGGCTAGTGGGAATGCTTTACTGGCCCCCCTCCCATAAGCCCATGGAGCACTTGCTATTCCTCTTAGGGCTAAGCCCAAAAGCCATGGACCTGTTTTTCTACACATGGGAGTGTTCTGGGATGGATTTTAATTTTTGTTTCACAGGTGATGACTGTTGACTAGGTATGGTCCTTGTAAGAGGAGAAAGGATCATGCTAGAGTTAGAGAGGAAGATAACAATAGATGGTTGGCAGGACATAGTATATTGAGGGAGGGGGAACTGGAGTTACCGAGGTTATGCCCCAAGTCAGGGGTGAAGTAGAGGCAGTGTGGAGCTGCCGGGCCAGAATTCCCTGAGCATGGGCTGGCCTGGACAGGTAGATGTGAGACCTGGAGCCCCATAAGATAGCACTGGGGCCAGATTAAGTTAGGCACCCCACCGGAGCTTCTCTGTTGAGTGTCAGCTGTATGCTGGTCAGCAGTGCACTGTCCCACAGATTAACCCTGAAGATGTTACAGAGGCCTGGGCCACAGGATGGGCTTTGAGACTCTTACTACCATACCATAGGCCTCAGTTTCCCTATCTCTGCTACCATCTCTGTGATCTCTTAGTGGATGTTGGGTGGGTGGCTTGGGAGCCACTGTCTCTATCCCTGTATGTTGAAAACACATCCTTTATGGATAAGAGTCTGGACAAGTAGTGCAAGAAATGAAGGTACAAGTACTCAGACACATGCCTCTAGGAACATTGGACACAGGGACTGAGTTTGGGGTACTGTTAGGAAACCTCACTAATTGATGTGCTCAGGACCAATTGCAAAGCCGGGTGTTCATATACTGTGGACATGTGCACATTCCTGTCTGAAGAATTGGGTACATGTCTTTGTGTGTGCAAATCCCTATCCGTGTATGTGTGCCCAGGCATGTGTAATGGGGCTAGGCACTTTCTGTGAGCACTGGCTGACTCATGCTCCCACCCACCTGGGTGAAGTCATTGCCTGATTTTAGCTCCCTGAGGTCATTTGCCAGCAGGGACTCCTGAGGCCTCAGGATCTCACAGCCTATCTGTAGAAACCGTGTGTTAGGTTGGAGGCCTTTCTGGGAGTCCTGATTCTCCAGATCATTCCAACTCTGAACTGTGTCACATATTCACCGGTGCTGGGCAGGAGGAGAAAGCTGGGTGCCTGAATAGCAGTAAGGGGCCAAAGTGTCTATCCTTCAGTTCAATGGCAGGGCAAACCCTGCCACCTAGCTCAGCTATAGTAGGTGCTTCTGAGTATTTAATATATGCAAATATATGCAAATCTACTAAGAAGCCTGTCCTACTGACAGAATATTCTGGGCAACATGTTCTTCAGTTTTGCTTTTCCCCCTACTGCCAGGCCAGCCCTTTGGTGCCTAGCCCAGAATGCTGGAGGTCTGACTATCAGAGGATTCAGGGCCTGACATACCATCACCAAAAACAGATGGGATATCTCGAGCTCCAGTACAGAGGGATGCCCCTATGCCTGCTCCTCCAGAGTCATCCATACTCCCTAGTGACCTTGGAAAAGAGCCCAGGCTACTCTGTTTGACAGCCAGCCAGTTATCCCTACAGTGGGCCTCAGTCTATTTCTTTTCCCAGGGAACAGGGTCGCCTTATTCTGGCCAGGTCCCAGCAGGCATTCTGCTCCGTCCTGAGGATAAGAAGGTGGCTGCCAAGGCCCTCCCCTCAAGGGTGAGGCAAGGCTCAAAGGCTTCCTAGTCAGTGTTGAATTCCTGATACCAGTTATGAAGTTCTGGGTCAATCTCCCCTCTGCCAGGCCTCAGTTTCCTCACCTATGGTCACATGATCTCTAGCCCACTCAAGCCCTGCTCCTGGGGGAGAGTTAAGTGCCTTCTATCCCTTTGCTGTCTTTTGTCACCAGAGCTTGAGGGAGGCACTCATCTTAGCATGCTGGCATAGCTTCCTCAGACTCCTGCACTGTATGTATTAGGGGCCAAGCCTTTCCCCAGAACAGGACATCGACCTAAGGACACTGTTGGAACAGACAAGCCATGAGGACAGCACTGGCATTTTTCTTGCACTGAGGGAAGGAAGGACACCACATAGTGATGGAGCCAGATGGGTCCAGTGTGAATGCAGGCCTGCCCTAGGCCTCTACTTGGTGTTTGCAGGATTCGGGGGGCCTAGGCAGGGGACCATCCTGCCTGGACTATAGCGTGTGGGGTATGTCCTCCTGCTGACCCGGTTCTGGCTGCTGGGGAATGTGCCGCCTACCACAGCTTGAGTTTCAGGCCATGCCCAGGCCACATGCCAATCCCAGGATGTTGATGTGGTGGGGCCCTGGAACTGGAGAACTGTGTGGGCACAGCCCCAAGGGCGGAACATGGATCTCAGGGGTCCTCGTGCTAGACAGCACAGCAGGGACTGGCCTCTCTTTTTTGAGCCTGTTTACCTACTGGCAAGTCCAGCTGATAAGCATGTGGGCCTCAGAAGGGTCTCAGTCCAGAACTATATTACCTAATATTCCACCACCTAAACCTCCCATGCTGCATGACAGCAAAGAGGCTACAGGTGTAACTGCATTCTCTCTAGTCTCTATTGTGATGTCCAAGCTCTTTATCAGCTGAGGAAATTGGCCAGAGGTAAAGCTAGGCTGGGCTCAAAGGCACCAGAGTGTTACTGTGTACTCCAAGAGTGTCTGGGCTGAAGTGGCATTGTGGCTTAAAGTGGTAGAGTGTGAGCCTTGAACAGAAGTGCTCTAGGACAATACAAAGGCCCTGAGTTCAACCAAAAAAAATTTTTTAGGTGGACACTGGTGGCTCATTCCTGTAATCCTAGCTTCTCAGGAGCCTGAGATCTGAGGATTGCAGTTCAAAGCCAGCCCAGGCAGGAAAGTCTATTGAGACTCTTATCTCCAATTAACCACCCAAAAACTGCATATGAATCTATGGCTCAAAGTGGTAGAGTGCTAGCTTTGAGCAAAAAGAGCTCAGAGACAGTGCCCAGGCCCTGAGTTCAAGCCCTAAGACCAACCAAAAGAAAAAACAAGAGTCTGGGCTGGAAGGAACAAGGATATTTTAGTGTTCTGGATGCACAGTGCATTTTGGGAGCTGGGTATTTTTGTCCTGTGGGGGTGTCTGGCTGGTCTTGTGGCAAGAGCTTGGGTGTGGCCATGGGAGTCAGTGAACTATGCTGAAACTGCTACCCCACGGTGTGTACATTTAAGGCTTCTCGAGTGGGTAGGCCCCAAGACAATTTGAGGGCCCAGCCAGGGATGGCAGGTGATGCCAGAGGGACATCCTGCAGGTCTCACCTGTTCCTACTTAGGCCTGGAGGAGCCTGGAGACATAGGGAGCCCTGCTCCCATGCTTGTCTGCCTCTGCAGTTCTGAGGAGGTCCTGGGATAGAGAGCCAGCAACCTCTTGCTTCCTGCCTCCTAATAACTATCCTTCTCTTCCCAGGAACAGAGTCCGGGCAGCCAGGCATCACTGGCCACAATGCCAGAGGCACCTGAAGTGCTAGAGGAGACAGTGACAGTAGAAGAGGACCCTGGCACACCTACTTCCCATGTGTCCATTGTTACATCTGAAGACGGCACAACTCGGCGCACTGAGACCAAGGTATGGCCAAGTCTGGGTGTTTGAACTGGCTTCCTGGGGACACCCAAAGTTTGAGTTGAAAATGAAAGCCACCCTAGCTGTGCCAAAGTACTGCCCAAGTCTTGGGATGTCAGAGGCACCCATCACCCACTTATCTCTCAGGTCACCAAGACAGTCAAGACAGTGACCACGAGGACAGTACGCCAGGTGCCTTTGGGCCCAGATGGACTCCCCTTGCTGGATGGCGGCCCTCCACTTGGCCCCTTTGCTGATGGCCCCTTGGACCGGCATTTCCTGCTACGTGGCGGTGGTCCAGCAGCCACACTTTCCCGAGCTTACCTCAGCAGTGGGAGTGGCTTTGCTGATGGCCTAGAGCCCCGTGATGGTCCCAACTATGGCAGCCTGTCCAGAGGGCTAGGGGTGCGGTCCCCCCGCACTGGACCCCTTGGCCCAGGATCTGGTGATGGCTGTTTCACACTGCCTGGTCGCCGGGAAGCCTTCCCTGTGGGTACTGAGCCTGGTCCTCCAAGTGGCCGCTCCCTCCCCGAGCGTTTCCAGGCAGAGCCCTATGGCCTGGAGGATGACACACGAAGTCTGGCTGCTGATGATGAGGGGGGCCCTGATCTGGAGCCTGACTATGGTACAGCCGCACGAAGAAGACCTGAGTGTGGACGGAGCCTTCGTGCCAGGTAAGCACCATGTTTCCTGTGGGATTTTATCTTCAGCTCTTCAGCCACAGGGTACCCACAGGTAGTCAGCTGCTGAAGCTGAGTTGGTCATACACACCTTAGTTTGAATTAGCCTTGTCTCTTCTAAAGGACAACAGCAAAGGCAGGCCCTAGGTAGAAATTATGCTGATAGAAGGAAAAGAAAACAGTGCCTGCTAACTGGCTTCTGTAGCCAGAGGGCTATTGAAATCAGCCAGAGGCTCAGGGTGTTAACTCTGTGCATGAAGCCTCCAATTGGAGGCTTCCCTGTGCCTCTATTTCCACTTTGTCCAATAGTAGCCAGAACCTAGAGGCTTAGAGAACCTTCCTGTCAGAGCCCCTAGTTCTGTCCCATATGCCCTCATTATCTATGCCTGCAGAGTGGGACTTAAATTACCACAGCTTGGGTCCAGATCTTATTGGGCAAGTCATTTAACCCTTCTTCCTAGTCTTAGTCTTTCTTAGGGAAGTAGATTCAAGAGCAGTTACTGTCACGGCTAAGGATATCTTATGCCCTAAATGTCTCTTGGATGGTGAGGGTCATCCACTTCTCATACATCCTAGTACCAACCACATGATCTTATGGAAGAGAAGTAGGACATCACTGACAGATGCTGCGTGGCGACATGCTTGTTCAGGATAGGAGAAACTCTCCATACTGGGAGGGATGCTGGCCTCTGGCTGGAGTTTGGCTCTGCTTTGACTCTAAGACAGTTCTCGCTGGGCTGGTACATAACTCAGAACCTACTTTATGCTTGGAGCTGAGGCTCCCAGCCCAGCTTGCTCCTGCTTGGTGAGTTTTACATTTCCAGGGTGGTGGGCAGCACAGGACTGCTGCTCACCCACCCTTCTACTTGCATAGGGCTTATGAGGATGTGGCTGATGATGCAGGTGAGCTGACAGATGAGCGGCCCCCATTCCCAGCAGCAACAGCACCATTGGCCCAGCCTGAGCGAGGCAGCTTGGGCAGCCTGGACCGAGTGGTACGACGCTCACCTTCAGTGGACAGTGCCCGCAAGGAGCCACGCTGGCGGGATCCTGAGTTGCCTGAGGTGTTGGCCATGCTGCGACACCCTGTGGACCCAGTGAAGGCCAATGCGGCTGCCTACCTGCAGCACTTATGCTTTGAGAATGAGAGCATTAAGCGGCGTGTTCGGCAGCTGCGTGGGCTGCCACTGCTTGTGGCACTGTTGGACCACCCTCGGGCTGAGGTGCGGCGCCGAGCCTGTGGGGCACTGCGCAACCTCTCCTATGGCCGAGACACAGATAACAAGGCTGCCATCCGGGACTGCGGAGGTGTGCCTGCCCTGGTACGCCTGCTGCGGGCTGCCCGTGACAATGAGGTTCGGGAGCTGGTCACTGGTAAGTGGGTTTGGGATATGCCTGCTTCTCTAGGAAGATGAGAGCAAGGTTCAGCCTGTGAGAGAGAACACCCAGATAGTCAGGGGTGCCAGCTTGCCCTGCAGGCAGACATCAGACCCAGATGCTGTGACCAATTCCTATTCTCTACCAGCAAGGCTGACACTAGCCCCTTAAGAGTGGTCCCTTTCTACCTTCCCTGATGTCCCCACAGCTCCCCTGGGACTTGCCTCCCTGGTTCTTATTGCATGACAATGCAATGTAAGTCTGTGCCTTATAGGACTTGAAGGTCATATAGCCAACTCTTGTAGCTCTATGATCTCAACAGTATTTGTCCTACCCATCTGCCATGGCCTTTTGCATTCCAGCCTGTTCCTCTCAGCTGAAACCCATTGTTGGGTGCTGCCTGAACATCTAGCTCAGGCCAAGATTGGCACCCAGAGCTTCTCATGGCTTTTGTTACTTCCTAAGTTCCTGTATGGGTTGGAGGTGTTACTTTGTACTAGAGCTTGCATAGTATATACTAAGGCCTTCAGTTCCATCTCCAGCACCAAAAAAACAAAACTGCTGGGCTGGGAAGGTAGCTTAGTGGTAGAGTGCTTGCCTTGCATGCATGAGGCCCTGGGTTCGATTCCTCAGCACCACATAAGAAGAAAAAGCTGGAAGTGGCGCTGTGGCTCAAGTGGTAGAGCTCTAGCCTTGAGCTGAAGAGCTGAGGGACAGTGCCCAGGCCCAGAGTTCAGGCCCCACGACCGGCAAAAAAAAAAAAAAAAACTCCAACTCTAGCCAGGTGTCGGTGGCTCATGCCTGTAATCCTACCTACTCAGGAGGCTGAGATCTCAGGATCACGGTTCAAAGCCAGCCCCAGCAAGGAAAGTTGTGAGACTTTTATCTCTAATAAACCACCAGAAAACCAGAAGTGGTGCTGTGGCTCAAGCGGTAGAGTGCTTGCCTTGAGCTGAAGAGCTGAGGGACAGTGCCCAGACCCAGAGTCCAAGCCCCACAACTGACAAAAACAAAAACAAAAACACCCAAAACAAAAAACTCCAACTCTCCTAACTTCCTGTGGGACTTGGGCACAAGACCAGTCTTGATTGGGATGCCCTGGAGAGGCAAGGGAGGTGAGGCCCATGGTCAGCAGAGTTGCGTGGTGGCATCCCACAGGCACACTCTGGAACCTGTCATCCTATGAGCCCCTGAAGATGGTCATCATTGACCATGGCCTGCAGACACTGACCCATGAGGTCATAGTGCCCCACTCGGGCTGGGAGCGTGAGCCCAATGAAGACTCCAAGCCACGGGATGCTGAATGGACGACTGTCTTCAAGAACACATCTGGCTGCTTGAGGTGTGGGCAGGGGCTGGGCTCAGGCTGTTCCTGCAGGATGCTGGGGTGTCAGAGTCTGCATGCATACACAAGCCTTCTCCTGCAGCTGCCATATCTTCAAGGTCCCAGTGTAGAACACTATCAGGTGGCTGAATCTTAGTAGCTTCAGACCCACATCCTAACAATGAGAAATGATGTCAGATGGTGCTGCTCTCACACCCAAAGACACTCTCTGGATAAGGTTTTCCCTCTTTCCCACAGTTCCCTACCATTCCAGCCCTCCCATTGCTGTGCCCACCCTTCTATTACCATGATAGCCAAGAAGGCAGAGCAGGACCATCATCTCCAGTCTTCCTTAGAGGCTCCTTTCTCCAGCCTGTGGCCCTTGCTCTCCTATTTCCTCCCATCCCTAGGTCATCCTGCAGAGACCTCAGTCAAGAGTCCTACCTATCATCAATGTGTGCTATCATGGCCCCATGAGGTCCTGACCTTGGGGCAAGTTGGGGCACAGGGAACTGACACTGGGATGGAGGGTTGGAATTACCCATGCAAAGAGTTGGGCCTCTGGGCCCAACTCTGTGCCTTTCAGTTCACTTGCGAGTCAGTCCTTCCTGTTCCACCTGAAGTCCACCTCCTGGGTCTGCCCCTCTATTCTGTGCTCCAGGCTATGGTGTACTGTCCAGAGTCCCTGGGGAGAGCATCAGGGCCTATTGTGCAGATGAGGACCAGATCCTGGGCCAGTGGTGGGTGGGGCTGAGGGAAATTCCTATGGACTAGGGCCAGGGATCACCGGGCCTACTTTCGGCCACCTAGGAACGTGAGTTCAGATGGTGCCGAGGCCCGCCGGCGACTCCGGGAGTGTGAAGGGCTGGTGGATGCGCTCCTGCATGCCCTGCAGTCGGCAGTGGGCAGGAAGGACACGGACAATAAGGTGGGTGGAGCAACTTGGGAACAGTCTCACAAACTCTGAGACATGGTGTAGGAGTGGGACCCGGGGGTATGGGATGTCGAAGGTGGCTAATGGGGAAAGGCTATGTGAGTCTGGGCAGCCCATTTGGAGTGGCCATACTGGGACATGGTTCTACACATGGCAAGTGGTCTGCAAGATCCAAGCTTCCTCCTGTGGCCCTCACTGGCAATTCCCTCTTATGCGGGCCCCTACCTCAGGCCTTGTTGCCTCTATACTTTGGGCACACTAGCTGTTGCCAGTCTTTCCTGGGGGCTTGGGTTGTTCAGCCACCCCCTTGCCCCATGGCCCAGCCCCACCAGGTCACCTTTCCCCACAGTCAGTGGAGAACTGCGTGTGCATCATGCGGAACCTGTCCTACCACGTGCATAAGGAGGTGCCTGGGGCTGACAGGTACCAAGAGGCTGAGCCCGGGCCCCCAGGCAGTGCCACAGGCTCCCAGCGCCGGAGGAGAGATGATGCAAGCTGCTTTGGTGGAAAGAAGGCCAAAGGTGGGTGGGTGCGATTAGGGTACTTCTCTAGCCCTTGCTCCCATAGCTCAAGGCTCTCCATATTTGTGGTAGGCAGTCATGGAGGCTGGAGGACATCTGGTCAGTGCTCAGTGGGCAGACAGGAAGCTGAAGAGGGCACTGCCCTAGATCACGACAGCTGACAGGCCAGGGCTCAGACTCAAGTCCCTCCTGTGTAACCTGAGGGATCACCTGGATAACTGCTCAGACTCTGTCCTTCAACTCTGGAGAAGGGTTCTTTGGGCCCACAAGTGAAAACTGGACATTCACAGAGCAACTGGAAGCTCTGAGCCCTGCAGGCATACCCCACTCGACCTGTCTGGGCCACTGCTACACACTAGCACCTTTGGAACCTACAGGGTACAGGGTGCAGTGGGACTATCCAACAGCAGTTGTAGTGGGGTCTATGCATTACCTTCACCTGACCCCAAGCATCCCCTTCCTGCCCCACTGGTGGACACGCAGGCCCCAAGCGTCATTGGGGTGAGGCTCCACATCCTGTCTGCAGTGTGCAGTGGGAACAAGAGGGCATGGGGAGGGTGCTACCCACTCAGGCTCATCTCCTCTCTCCTGTGCTTCCTTCCAGAGGAGTGGTTCCATCAAGGTGAGTCCTGTTTGTCCTGTTGTCCAGGCCTGGCAGGTGCAGTGGGCACTAGAAAAATGCTATCCCCATGGCTCAGGCTCAGTTATTTCCATGACAACTATAGTGCAGTGGTCACCAGGATGCCTTCCAGCCTCCAGCCCCTCTCCCACCCGTAGTCCTATCTCCATGACAACTGCATGGACATGACAAAGGCAGGAATGTGAGTCCCAGACTGGTGAGGCGGCCAAGGGTTGCCCTCTTAAGTCAGACCCAGCTATCCAGGCAGGCTGAGGCAGAGAAGACAATTGGTGGGGCCTGGGTCATGTCTGTGCCCATGGGCGCCAGGGAGCAGGCTGCCCCCTCGCATGGAATGGGTAATGTGGTACTGATTCAGATATACAAAGTTAACATGAGGGTGGGCAAGGCAGGGGCCCCAGATCATCTGATCCTGGCTTGCTCTCAGTTGAGAAGGGGTGGTGGGTTCCTAGAAGTATACCAGTGTTTTGTAGGGTTGCCACAGGAGCTTTGTTTAGCTGGTATAGAGGCTAGACCTTAGTTATGGCCTCTAGAGGAGTTTTCTCCTTGGGTGGAACTCAAGTCTCCCTGCCCTGCTTCATCGTGTTACCCCAGCAAGCTCTTGTTTCTCTGCTTGTACCTACATGCCACCTAACCTAGGTTCCTGCTTTCTCAGTTCATACAGCTGAACCATGCAGCCGCATGGGCACTGTGGAGAGGTTTTTTGGCATAGTTCCCAATCCTATGATGGGAGAAGAGGCCTAGGTACTCAAGGCAGGTCTAGGATATCCCCAGGCCCCACTGTCCCCTCTCTGGGCCAAGCTGCCTGCCTGAACTCTGAATGGCGCTCCATTTCCAGAATCTCTTGGTGTTTAGGCCTGCATATGGGTGCTCTTTGGGCTCTGGGCAGGAAAGAGTTATGTCTAACCTTTCTAACATACACATATCCATCCATGGAATCTGCCTTACCTCCAACTACCCTTCCATTCTAGGGAAGAAGGATGGTGAGGTGGACCAGAACTTTGACACGCTGGACCTGCCCAAGCGAACCGAGGCTGCTAAAGGTGAGTGGACAGAGGTACAGAGCCAGTGTTGCTGGGAGAGTTGGAGCCCAGACTAGCCAGGAGGAAAAGCTTTGTGCCACTGAGTGGGCCTGAGAGATCAGATGGAGAAATAAGGTGGACAAGTGTGGAGTTCTCTGAAGTCCAGGCCCTGGGACTTGGGGGGTTCAGATTCAGGGTCAGAGTCATAGCCTATTTTAGCTAGGATAAATGGAAAGCCACAGTGGGTGGGTTGGAAGGAGCTGTCAGTAAGGACATTTGGACCATGTTGGGAGCAAGGGCTAAGGCACAAGAATGTCAGACTCCTGGACATCCTTTTTAGATAAATCCAATAAGACTGCCTGATAGGATCCAGACAGCCCTGCAAGTCAGAGGAGCCTAGAAATCCCCAAAGAGGGAGATGTGGAAAAGGCCCCTGCCATGGAAATTGTGTGGGGAGCCATTTTAGGCAGTACAACTGGCTTGTGCAAATACCCAAGATGAGAATATACTTGGAGCCTTTGTGGTGTAGGAAACCCAACAGGCTAGAATGGAAGGAGAGAGAGGGTGGTATAAGGACAGGAGAGGGGTGATGAAATAGGAATGGTAGGACAGGCTGTAGGAAAGTAATCTCCTAGGGGCTGGGAAGGTGGCTCAGTGGTAGAGCACTTGCCTTGCAAGCCTGAGTCCCTGGGTTCGATTCCTCAGCACCACATAAGCAAAAAGAAAAAAGCCGGAAGTGGCACTGTGGCTCAAGTGGTAGAGCGCTAGCCTTGAGCTGAAGAGCTGAGGACAGTGCTCAGGCCCAGAGCGCAGGCCCCACAACCGGACCCCCCACCCCCCCCCAAAAAAAAAATCTCCTGAGCCAGGCTGTGGACAGGTAGGCTTGGAAGATGCTTCTAGGCCCTATCTTTGAAATCCTCTATGGGGCAGCCATGCTTCCATAGTGGGTAGGGCCACAATCATGGAGAGCCTAAAATGGTTGCCTGAGAGGGTGAGCAAGGGGCAAAATCCTGGTTCAGCAGCTTATCACATACTCTGAAGGCTGGTCTTGTTGCTAGAGAGGGCCCCATTAATAAAGGGAATGTGGCTCAGTTGACACTCTCCCACCCCCAAATCCTGGATGCTCATGCTGCTAGGTAGATCCAGTCTCATTTATTTGGCAGCATAGTCGAAGAAGGAATGACTTCTCCCAAGTCGGTTACCTCCTGAGTAACTCTGTTTTCCTTTCTGAGAAATGGTGACACTTCTCCCTTTGGGCCACGAGCAAGGGGTGAATGCATTAATACTAATCATGCCCTTACTGCTCCACACCCACCCCTGGAATATTGATGAGGGAAGATGATAGGGAGGAGGTTCTGGGTAACCTTGGCTGTCTGTGGTTGCCCTATGTGTAGGCTTTGAGCTGCTGTATCAACCTGAAGTGGTACGTCTCTATCTCTCCCTCCTCACCGAGAGCCGGAACTTCAACACTCTGGAGGCTGCAGCAGGTGCCCTGCAAAACCTCAGTGCAGGCAACTGGATGGTGAGGGGCCAGACCTGGCAGGAAGGAAAGATCTAGACAAAGAGGGAAATCCAGGCTTCCCCATTAGTGCCGCTCCTCATATCTGGGTTGGCCAGAAAAGGCCGAGGACGTTGCGCTTCCCCAAGGTTTGGGAGGTTCAGGGTACATGGCCTAAAAGCATTATGCCCTGGGCAGTGGAACTAGCTTTGAGCTGCTGGGGTTGGGCCTTGTGCAGCCAGACTTCCCTCTGAGTAGTCCACCTCCTACTTCCACTCCCACAGTGGGCCACATACATCCGTGCCACTGTGCGTAAGGAGCGCGGGTTGCCGGTACTGGTAGAACTGCTGCAATCGGAGACTGATAAGGTGGTGCGGGCAGTTGCCATCGCCTTGCGAAACCTATCTCTGGACCGCCGCAACAAAGACCTTATTGGTGAGGATGTTTGGTGGGGCCAAACCTGGGAGTGCAACAGTTGGGGACCCATCCCTGTGTCTTAGGCTAGTCCCAGCTGGGGGAACTGACTTCTTGGACCAATTCTGAAGTCTTAGTCTTATGCTCCTCCTGAACCCTGCTTCTTCCCACAGGGGCGGGGCAGAGGTGTGTCCTGACACCTGCCCCTGCCTCTCAGGGAACTATGCCATGGCAGAGCTGGTGCGGAATGTTCGCAATGCACAGGCACCTGTCCGCCCTGGGGCTCGCTTGGAGGAGGACACGGTGGTGGCTGTGCTCAACACCATCCATGAGATCGTGTCTGATAGCCTGGACAATGCACGCTCACTCCTGCAGGCCCGTGGTGTGCCAGCGCTGGTGGCGCTCGTCGCCTCCAGGTGGACAGGGGCCTGGGAAGGGGGTGGGGTGGGGCGCAGGGAAAGAGCTGGCCGCTGACCCCGCCCTTGGTCCTTTCATAGCCAGTCTGTGCGTGAGGCAAAGGCAGCATCCCACGTGCTTCAAACCGTGTGGAGCTACAAGGAGTTGCGAGGAGCCTTGCAGAGGGACGGCTGGACGAAGGCGCGCTTCCAGGTGCGGCCTGCAGGGGCCTTTCCTGTTTCAGTTTACCAGGTGTAGTCCCTAAGCAAAAGTGCCTCTGACCTTTCCCACCTGTGTTTTGTGCGCCCCAGTCAGCTGCTGCCACTGCCAAGAGTCCCAAGGGAACGTTGAGCCCTGGGGGCTTCGATGACAGCACACTGCCACTGGTAGACAAGAGCCTGGGTGAGTACAAGCCAGGAAGGAGGGAAATGGGAGCCCATTCCTGAGGCTGGAGGAGCTCCCACCTGCAGTGATGGTAATAAGGCCGGTGAAGGCCGGGGAAGGAAGGCGTGCCTTTTCCTGTTTATGTCATCTGCTTGGGTGTGTGGAGGAGGTGCCTGCAGATAAGGAAGAAAGGTAGAGAAATGCCAAGACATTAGTGATAGGATACCTAAGGTTGCTGAGGTCTGCCTGGTGCTGGGCTTGTCTGTGACCCTGGCCCCCAGCCTGTCTACCGCTCACAACCAGAGCCCCTGCCCCTGCCTTGCAGATGGTGAGAAGCCAGGCAGCCGAGATGTGATCCCCATGGACACACTTGGCCCAGGTGAGGTCAAGCATGGTTTGATTGTTTTCTACTCAGGGAGAAGGGAGGAGCCTGAGCCAGGACTGTTGGTTTTATGGGGTAAGCATGGTCGGTGCTGAGATGCTTTCCAAAAAGGTGTTATTTGGTAAGATTTCATTTGGGGATGCTCAGCAGATATGAAGCAGAAATGGTGAGGGGGCATGGGACAGGGTCAGAGTGGGTGGGGATCCTCTGTAAAAACCCCTTATTTCAAGGGTCCCCTGTGTCTGAGATGAAGGTTGCATGGTCCCTCAGTGCCTACCTCTCAGAACTTGCCTCATGCTTCCCCTCTATGCTGTCCACAGATGGATACTCCACTGGATATTCTACTGTGGACCGGAGGGAACGGAAGGCCCTGGGCAGTGACTCTGCAGGTGAAGCCTCTGAAAAGGAACCTTTGAAGGTAAGTGGCCATGGGAACTTACCAAGGAAGCTCCATGTACAAGGCTTGCCCAGAGAGTAGCTAGGCAATGCAAAGCTTGACTTGGGACCTGAAGCCTGGCGAGGCTGGTGCTCATCTCCAAGTAGCTGGGCTGTGGGTCCAAGTCTAAGCAGTATCTCTTCATCAGTCAGATGGTGGATGCTGTTGGGTAGAGAGCTCACACCTGCTGGGAGGGAGGGGCAGAGGACAGTCTGCCCAGCCACACCCTGCACAGGACTGAAGAGTCTAAGAAAGTGGTTTATGCACCTTTCTCTGCATGTGTGTGTGAGGGGGGGCAGGTGCCTGTCATGGTCCCTGGTGGGAACAGCACCTGCCACTTGCTCTACACCAATCCCATAGACTCATGCAGACCTCTGTGTGTGTCCCTGTACCACCCAACACTTGTGTGAGCCATACTGGCTTGACTCCCTTGTGCTGCTGTGACCCTGGCCTGCCACCCTGGCCCTGTTCCTACTGGCAATTCAGCTTTGCCCTTCAGCTGCAGCTAACATGCTTTCTTTTGCCTTTAACATCTTCTGTCTACCCATCCACCCACTTGTGCACTACAGCCTGATCCTGGCAGGAAGGCCCTTCCTCCTGGGCCCAGCAGGCCCTCAGTCAGGCTGGTGGACGCCGTAGGGGATGCTAAGCCTCAGCCCGTTGACTCCTGGGTCTAGCTTGCATGCCGGGTACGTTCTCTTGTCTAGTTGTTGTCCAATGATTTTGCCATCCTTTGGGCCAGGGCTTTATGTTGATCTCTGCCAACTGCATGCTCTGTCCTCCTTGTATATTTCTTAGCAGGACCAAAATGCCCAGCTTAGGGAAGGCCAGACTGAGGGCTGAGCAGAAGGGTCCTCCCAGGGTCTACTATGATGAGTCCAGGGAGGGATGGGTCCTCCATACCTTCAAATACCCCTGCATAGGCCCCATAGGACCAGTAAGTCAGAAATAAGTGGTCCCTACTATGACCGTTAGCAGCTGCTTTTGTCCACATAGCTGTCCATGGAGCCCGTGGAGGCAGCAGCTCTGCCAAGATATTGCATGTCACTCTACCCCACTCATTTAGCCCTGCCACCTGCTTGTGTGCTTCTACAGCATTGCCTTATTCCTCCCTTTGCAGGGCTCCAGCCTAGCCATTTCTTAGAGATTGGATCACCTGGAGAAAGGCCCATTCTGAAGTCTGCTGTGGAGCCTCCTGGTGGCAGTTGCTGGCCAAGCTTCTTGCCAGGACCTGACTTGCTGGCACCCCTTCTGTCTTGCCCTGACGGTTGCTCCCTCTGATCTCCTGATCAAATTCCCTAGGCCTGAGTTAGCTGTTTACTGACATGGTGCTGTGTGTGAGTGTGAAAGAAAAGGCCAGGATGGGGCCCAGGAAGGTAGCAAGGGAGGGCACCTGGCTTTGCTCTGGTGGAATAAAGACTGTGTTCCAGAGAAACAGGTCTGGGGAGTGGGGGTCCTGGGGACAGGCAGCTGGGAAGGGAGGAAGGGTCTCAGGAAAGGAAGTTGGACTCCAAAGGGTGGAGGGACTTCCTTTTGTTCGAGGCTGCAAAGTGGGGATCCTGCACTGGATGTCCGGAACCCTCATGCAATGAGATCCTTCCTCAAGTTGCCTCTGGCAGGGGGGGGTCACTGTGATGGCTGCACCTGCATCTGCCCAGAACCTCACTGTAATCTCCGGACTGACCCCCAGCAGCACAGGGAACTGCTGTCCAGTGCCTGCTGTTCAGAGAACCACTGACAAAAAAAAAAAAAAGCATTAAAAATGAAACCAAAATAAGACTATTGGTAGACATCTAAATTTTTTAAAGAAACTTTAAAAATTAAAAAAAAGCAACAAAGAAATTTGTCTTCCATGGCGCAGACTCTGTGTCTCATTGGCTGGCTGGCCCTTCCCTTAGTGTGGAGAGTGGAGGCCATCATTCTACTGGGTGAGGAATGGGCCCCCATGGATTGTTGGGCATAGTGCTGTTGGCGGAGGCACTGCTGCCACCTTTGATGACATAACTTGAGGACAACCTGACTGTAAGGGCCAGCAGTTCCTCAGAATCCCCCCCCTCCCGGGGGTGGCTGAGAGTGACCTGCATTATCTACGTGCATACATCCATGTGCATGGCTCATGGCTGATCTACTCTGCCCTCACAAGATCTGGTTGGCTTCCGGTGATAGGCTGGCCTGGAGCCTGGGAGCAGAGTTCTGGCCAGAGCTCACTGGGCATGAGTGGAATCTACTAGGACAAGTTGATCTTTGTGTCTGGTCTTGGTGGAGCCTCCTGGAACCTCTCTGGTAGATAGCAATCTGGCTGCTTGAAGGTGCCAGGGCAGCTCTGGATTTAGGCAGACACAAAGCAGCTTGGCTTGCTTGCAAGCAGCTAGGCAACCAGCAGCAATGCCCTGGCTGTTCCAAGCCATTTTCTCCCCATAAATTTGGCCAAATGGGATTAGGGAAGGAGATATTTCCAACTAGTACCAATGTGGGTCCAGAAAGGCAGGGCTCTGAATGGCCCTGTGTCCACTATCTCCAGAACTCTGCTCTGTCAGAGATGGCCAGTTCTGTGCTACTTTTCCAGGCAGGCTAACAGGTATCCCTGGCCTGGCCTGAAGGAGCAGTATTGAGCAGAGATGGCTCCCACCCCACTGCCTTAGCCAGGAGCCCTGAGGTTGGTGTGATATTCAGGACCCAGCCAGCTTACAGCACTAGTGCCTGTCCAGAGGTGAAGCTGAGAGGAACCACTCCGTTGAGCTCTTATATCCAAATATTTGGATCTTTAATTCTATTGGCTTTTAAACATGAATTTAGTATATAAGACTACAGTCATCTAACTTTAGTAATGAGGTTACAGTTCATTCTTAAAAAAGGTGAATACTTGCAAGTCAAAAGTACAGGGTGAGGTGGTGGTGGTAATGTCACTAAGGTGCTGCTGCCCCCTGGTGCAGAAAGCCTAAGAACAGTCAGTGCAAAGCCCAATAGATTCCTGATTTTTCCAACTTCTGCTTTCAGGGCCTAATAAGTAAGTTGGTGCCTGATAACCTGTCCTTGGAAACCTGATTGGAATTCATATTACATTTTCCAGTTTGGTCTTTGTTTTTCTTTTTTGTTTTTCAGTTCTGGGGATTGAATTGGGCCTCTTATATGCTAGGAGTTTGTGCTTCCTGAGCTACACTCCCAGCCCCTCTGTCAGCAGTATTTTCCAGGTTTTCTGCAGTGGCTTTGCATAGTAAGCTCATTATTCTTTAGAGTGTGTAGTATGTGATAATCTGCACCAGCAGCACAGAGGTCAGTGTGGACAAATCCCAGGTTCATAGGCCTGAAGTAGACATTGCATGGGGACAGACCCTAGAACCACAGAAGTGGAGTTATCAAGAGTGAGCGTGTCCATCTTGCTCTTCAGAAAGAGGCTGGGTAAGGTGCCTAGTGCAAGGTAGCAGTCAAGTTTGCATCTTGCCCTTGTAGATGGCCTTCTCCAGGCCATCCACCACATTCGTGTACTCTAGGTATGAGCTGTAGTGTGTGCACTCAAAGCTGTTGTTCTTCCGCACATATGCCAGGAATTCTGGTGATCCTGGAATGATGACGTTATCAGCCAGAAGCACTGTCCCCTTCCGCAGTAGGCCACATTCCTGCAGGGGACAGATGGGTCGGTGGTTAGGAGTGCATGGCAAAACCACTCTGAACCAGGCACACCTCACTCCCCCTTACCCCCCAAGGCTGCTGTTTGATGCACTGGCTTATGCTCAATCCTGAGGTCCAAGTCTAACACCTCATTTATTTCCAAGTGGCCACTGCAGAAAAGGGCTGTGCCAGTCCTACCTCAGGCACATCAGCTAAAGATGGAGGTCTTTTGCTCCTCCATTCACTACTTGTGGCACTAGAGATCAAACCCAGGGTTGTGTATGGGGGGACTGGGGGAGCTGAACTCAAGAGCCTGGGTGCTGTCCCTTAGCTTTTTTGCTCAAAGTTAACACTCTACCACTTGAGCCATAGCACTACTTCTAGCTTTTGGACAGTTAACGTTAAGAGTTTCACAGGGCTGGGAAGGTGGCTCAGTGGTAGAGCGCTTGCCTTGCATGCCTGAGGCCCTGGGTTCGATTCCTCAGCACCACATAAGCAAAAAGAAAAAAGCCAGAAGTGGCGCTGTGGCTCAAGTGGTAGAGCGCTAGCCTTGAGCTGAAGAGCTGAGGGACAGCGCCCAGGCTCAGAGTTCAGGCCCCATGACCGGACCAAAAAAAAAAAAAAAGAGTTTCACAGACTTCCCTCCCTGGACTTATTTCAAGTTGCAATCTTCAGATCTCAGTCTCCTGAATAACTAGTATTACAGCTATGAGCCACCAGTGCCCAGCTAGAACCTAGAGTCTTGTACGAACTGGGCAACCACTTGAGCCACTTCCCCAACCATCCTTTACTCCTGTATCCATCTCCAGCCCTCTAGAACAATGTGTGGCACACTGAAGGTAGTCAATAGATGCTTTAAGGATTGTGAGTGGTGGATATGGTGAGCTAAGAGGCCAGTGCATCCTCAGATACCTGATGCCAGAAAAATAGGCATCTATAAGGGAGAGGTGTCCAGGGACATGGGCTGGTATGGTCACTACAGACTAGATCCAGCTTCAACATGGTGACTTTACAGGGATGGGGGCACAGACTACCTCTCTACAGACAAGCTGCTCCTTGGAGGTCTGCTCTGGGTATCCCATAGCACCTATCTCCACTGATGCCTGGGCTGGGGTAAGGGTGCAGTTCTGGTGCCCAGTCTCTGCATAGGGGAAATGAGTCATTACAGGGAGTGGCTCCAGTTGCCAGGTGGGAAACTTGATCGTAGGATGCTTGTCCATCTAAGGTGAGAAGTGTATCTGCTGACATCACATGAAAGAATAAAGGAGTTTTGACTTTGGAAATCTAGAGGATCTTTTTGTTTGTGTGCTGGTCCTGGGGCTTGAACCCGAGGCCTGGGCACTTTACCTGAGCTTGTGTGCTGAAGGCTAGTACTTTGCCACTTGAGCTACAGCTCCACTTAGTGTTTTAGTGGTTAACTGGAAATAAGAGTCTTACATACTTTCTAACCCAGGCTAGCTTTAAAACATGATCCTCAGAATTACAGGTGTGAGCCACCAGCACCTGGCTAGGAGTTTTTTTGTTTGTTTGTTTGTTTTTGTTGGTCATGGGGCTTGAATCTAGGCCTGGGTGTTGTCCCTTAGTTCTTTAGCTCAAGGCGAGTGCTCTACCACTTGAGCCACAGCTCTACTTTCCAGTTTTCTGTGGTTTGTTAGAGATAAGAGTCTCATGGACTTCCCTACCAGGCTGGCTTTGAACTGCAATCCTCAGATCTCAGCCTCCTGAGTAGCTATGATTACAGGCATGAGCCACTGGCACCCAGTGATTTTTTTTAAACATAGTCATAAAACAATTTTTTTTAAAAAAGAAATCTCGCTGGGCACCAGTGGCTCATGCCTATAATCCTAGCTACTCAGGAGGCTGAGATCTTGAGGGTCACAGTTTGAAGCTAGCTCAGATAGGAAAGTCTGTGAGACTTTTACCTTCAATTAACCACCAGAAAACCAGAACTGGAGCTGTGGCTCAAAATGGTAGAGCACTAGCCTTAAGCAAAAGAGCTCAGGGAAGTGCCCAGGCCCTGAGTTTAAGTCCCATGACTGACAAAAAAAAAGAATTTCAATATCTAAGTTGTGAAGCACTTGCCTAGCAGGTATGAGGCCTAGATTTCATTTCCAGCATGTGTGCATGCACACACATACACAAAGCCTAAAACACAAACTTACCTGGTATAGCAGCATACTAAGGAGAATCAAAAGGAAGGTTCCAGATGAGTACCAGTGGCTTGTGCAGGTAATCCTACTAGCTACTCAGGAGGCTGAGTTCTAAGAATTGAGGTTCAAAGCCAGCCCATGCAGTAAAGTCTGTTAGAGTTTTATGTATAATTAAAACCACCAAAAAATCAGAGGTAAAGGGTATGGGAAGCGGCTCAGTGGTAGAGTGCTTGCCTTGGATGCATGAGGCCCTGGGTTCAATTCCTCAGTACCACATAAACAGAAATAGCTGGAAGTGGCACTGTGTCTCAAGTAGTAGAGTGCTAGCCTTGAGCTGAAGGGCTGAGGCACAGTGCCTAGGCCCAGAGTTCAGGCTCCATGACTGACAAAAATAAATAAATAAAATAAATTGTTAAATTTTTTTTTTTAAAAATCAGAGGTAAAGCTATGGTTCAAATGGTAAAGTACTGGCACAAAAAGAAAAAGGGCTGGGTGCTGGTGCCTGTAATCCTAACTACTCAGGAGGCTGAGATCTGAGGACTGAAGTTCAAAGCCAGCCTGGCCAGGAAAGTCTGTGAAACTCATCTCCAATAAACTACCAGAAAACTGGAAGTGGTTCTGTGGCTCAAGTGGTAGAGTGCTTGCCTTGAGCTGAAGAGCTGAGGGACAGAGCCCAGTTCAAGCCCCAGGACCCGGACCAACAACAAATAAAAAGAAGGGAACAAAGGTTCCTGGCCAGCCTTGGCTACACAGGGAAACTGTCTCAAAATAAACAGCAACAATGAAAACAAAGAAATCCCTTGATGTCAGACATCAAAAGCAAATTGAAACAAGTGACCTGGGCTGGGTGGTATTAGCTCTACATGAAATACAGCACTTGACTAACATCCACAAGGTCCTGGTTCCATCCTGGGCATGGGAAAAAAAAGTACCGCCATTCCCAATTCCTGTCTTTTCTTCTTGAGATAATTATCAGCTTTGAACAAGCAGCACTGAGAAAACTGTTAGTTTCCTAGTTACTGAACTGCAATATTTGCTGCTTTTCTAAAAGCAGGCCTCTGTAATTATCACACACACTGAAAGTGCTGAAATCCACTCCATATGACTCAGGCCCTGCTGAAGTCTCTCTTCTGCCCAGGTGAGGCCTGTCTTCTCAGCTACCTGCACTCTGGCCTCAATACCCCATTTCCAGGCTCACACCTCTTCTCTAGGATGAGTCACTTGCCCAGGTTGGCTGCTCATGGCTGTCCTGGCCTAGCCTGCAACTTTCCCTTCTATCCCCCAACTGCCTATCCTCATGGATAGTGCAGATTTTCAATCCCTGAGACATTTCCCTTTCCAACACCAGGGTTCTGCACTGCCCTTCCCAGTTACTCTCTCCACATCCACAGGGCTAATAAGGATCCTTCCATAGAACAGCTCAACTTTTACTTGCTGAAAGCCTTCTGTACCTCTGACTCACCCTGTTGCCACCCACCTGGCTTGTCAGTGCTGGTCCCTTCCCTTTCATGTCCAGGCCATAATGGCTTTGCCAGCAGCCAACCCCCTCATATTTAAAGGTCCAATTACAGCTGGGCACTGGTGGCTTAAGCCTAAAATCCTAGCTACTCAGGAGCCTGAGATCTGAGGATCACAGTTTGAAGTCTGTCTGGGCAGGAAAGTCCAGGAGACTCCAGTTAAACACCAAAAAGCTGGGAGTGAAGGTATGTCTCAAATGTAGAGTGCAAAGCTTGAGTGAAAAAGCTTAAGGGAGAGGATCATGCCCTGAGTTCAAGCCCCAATGCTGTACAATGATAGGCAATGTCAATGAGGTATTGCAATGACAGGGTTCCCAACTTCTGAGAAAACTATGGGTTGGCCACTGGGCAGTGAGGACCAGGTAGAGAGGCCAAGGAGCTCCTCCATGCTCCCTGTTGCCACCAAGGAGGGTCAAAGTTAATGCAAAGCTCAGTTCATTGTGGCTGTTCAATGCCTGAAGCCTCGGCTGCTCACTGAGTAAGGACGGCCCCCTGGCGGCAGCTGAGGAAAGTTGGGGGGGGGCACATTAGAAGTAGGAAACAGATCCCTGGATCTATTTTTTTGTGTGGGTGTGTGTCAGTCATGGGGCTTGAACAGAGGGCCTGGGCACTGTACATGACCTTTTTTGCTCAAGACTAGTGCTCTCTACTTGAACCACAGCTCCACTTCCCGTTTTCTGGTCATTAGCTGGAGATAAGAGCCTCATAGACTTTGCTGCCTGGGCTGGCTTTGAACTGTGATTCTTAGAACTCAGCCTCCTGAGTAGCTAGGATTACAGGTGGGAGCCACTAGTACCCAGCAGAATAGGTCTGCTTTTGTGCTAGCCAGCTGAAGCCCAATCAGTGCTATGTGCTCCTCAGAATTGCTCTCCCTGTTCCTTGGCCCTGTGCCCATTAGATTCAGATGGTCTCATGTATATTGCTCACTACCTCACACTACCTACCCTGCTACAGGCAGGTACATTCCTAATAGGTCATTGGACCTGGCCCTGGGCAGGGACCCACAGCCTAGAACCCTTTTTTCCCATTCTCACCTCTGTGTTCCCTGACTTCAGGTAGGATGCCTGGCTGTAAGAGGATGTGGTCAGCTGGCCTGGGTGGTTCCAGCAGTCCCCATAGGAGCCTGTCTGGTGAAGCAGTGGACTTACCTCTAGGAGAAGGGTATCTGGCAGGTAGCGGTCCTTCCAGTGGTCTAGGAAGACCATATCCAGCGTGTCCACATCATGCTGCTTCTTCAGCTGGGGGATGAGGTCCTGGGAGGGTCCGATCAGGATGGTGACCTACAACAGGGCTCTGTTAGGGCTATGGCCACAGGGAGCCCACATCTGGATTCCCACATGTACACTGCTACAATAAAGATGAGCTTCTACTCTGCCCCATGCCTGCAACAGAGTTTCTGTTTTGTAGGATGGGTATAGAACCTGCTGGAGCTGTGGTCAGGGGAAGGTCTTTCCTTGAACCCCAACCTGGAAAGTATCAGATATTGTGACCCCAACCACAGTGGTGCCCAGAGCTTGAAACAAGCATGGTATGACTTGTGTCTTGCCTGGCACCCCTGAGCCCCAGTATCTATATCACCATAGTCAGGCCTGCCCTACACACCTTGTCCTGCAGGCCAGCAAAGTCCAGCATCTGCTGGGTGATGGCCGCAAAGTCAGGGTTGATCTCCATGGTGATGAGTCTTGCGCCAGGCTGCAGCAGGCGGGCCATGCGCACAGCAGAGTAGCCGCAATAGGCCCCCAACTCCAGCACCAAGGATGGCTTGTACTCCTGAATTACAGTGTCCATGATATGGCCTGGGGGGAGAGGGGAGACATGAGCACAGCTGGATGGAGGTAGGCTCAGTTCTAAGCAACATTCCAAGACTCCCCTCTCTAGCAGCGGGGAGAGTCTGGGGCTGTTTGACCACCTCAGGTCCAAGGACTTGGTCCCATTAGGCATACCCTTTGAACTCTTATGGTCCCTTGGCACAAATGTCCTTCTTTCTTGCCTCCTCAGCTTCCTGGAATCCTTGGAAGGAGCTACTACATTCTAACCCCAGAGTTTGATTTCAGGGTTCAATAAAACGTAACTGTGTCCCAGGCCAGAAGCCAAGGCTAAGGGGAGGCTCCAGGAAAACCTAACTGACTGGTTCCCAGGCAGGTCCCATGACATAGATGAGCAGAGGGCAAGCGGCACTGTACCCTAAGCACCACCTAACACCCTAAAAGCATAGAGCCCTGTCACCAACCTCCTGAGGGCCTCAGAGTTGTGAGGAGTCAACCATGTCCCAGGAGGGATGGATCCCAACTTACCCCAGGTCCCTGGTGGGGCTTGGCTGGCACTCTCCTTACATAGCACATTTTGTCAAACATTCCACTGTGTATAGATTCCTCTAAAGTGTAGCCAGTCTCTGAGCAAACTACCTCAAGTAGGAAGAAAAAGGTATGGCCTGCAGCTTGTCCTATCTGAGTTTGCTCCAAGGTTTCTGCCCTTTAGGGGCCTCTGTTAGGTAAGGGCTAATATTTACAACCACAGTCTCTGGTTTCTATTCCCTCTTCTGCTCCTCCTCCCGAAGCTGGGCTACTCACCTTTCTTGTCACCAACATGCATGGCCCACTCCTTCTGTGAGCAGTATGTGTCGATGACATCCAGCACACTCTGAGGGTCCCCACGCTTCGCATGTTGCTGCACATGGCGCAGGATGCGCTGTTCTTTAGTGTCTCCCATAACCAGGTTATAGATCGGCTGCAGCACAAACTCAAACCAGAAGACCAGTAACCAGCCCCGGCCCCACCGTCTGAGTGACAGTAGGAAAATGAGCAGCCCAAGGCCCAGCAAGACTGCAGCCAACAGAAGGGGCGGGACTCCCAGCATCTACAGGGCAAAGGGGAGCAGGGAGGGGAGAGATAAATGAGTAGGTAAACAAGAGTCCACAGCCAGCCAAGAGCAGGAAGGGGAGGGCTACCAAGGAGAGGCCCTCCCTGCCTCATAATCTTGCTCACAGCTGGAGGTACTGTTGCCATCCCCTATGCTAAGGGCCAAAAGAAGTCATGCCTCAGTTGACTGGGCTAGTGCTAGGAACCTGGCCTCTCTGCCTCCTCCAACATCTGCTGGTGGATAGAGCAGATGTGTGTGAACTTCTACCAGCCCTGCCTGGGCACAGCTCCTGGTTGTGGGTGCTTTCCTAGAGAAGAATATGCCAAGTGAGTTCAGTGGTGAGTTCAACCTTGAATGAGGAACTGACTCATAAAAGGCCATGGGGCCTCTCTTTTCCCACATGTAGTAGACTATAAAGATGTCTTGGAAGGAACTAGTGGCTCATGCCTGTAATCTTAACTATTCAGAAGGCTAAGCCCTGAGGATTCAGGCTCAAGGTGGAGGTGTATGACTCAAGTGATAGAGTGCCAGTCTTAGGCAAAAAAAAAAAAAGGTAAGCAAGAAGTGGGCATCGGTGGCTCATGCCTGTAATCGTAGCTACTCAGGAGGCTGAGATCTGAGGATTGCAGTCAAAGCCAGCCTAGGCAGGAAAGTCCGTGAGACTCTTATCTCCAATAAACCACTAGAAAACCAGAAGTGGAGCTGTGGCTCAAGCGGTAGAGTGTGAGCTGAAGAGCGCAGGGACAGTGCCAGGCCTAGAGTTCAAGCCCCACAACCAGAAAAAAAAATGGCAAGATGTGAGGCTCTGAGTTCAAGCTCCATTACTGCCACATGTACACACACACACACACAAACACGCACGCACACACGCACGCACACACCCTCTGGATTGGTAGCCCAGGACTCAAGTCAAATGGAAGTTCTGCTGAAGTCAACAGCTGACATAGAACAGAGTTCACAAAGTTCAGCGCAGAAATCCATGATTTCTGGCCAGAGATCCTAAAATGGAAAAGAACAAGAAAGAGGGAGTTCTTGAGGAGTTTGTGCCAGGGGCATGTGATCATTCACAAGGAGAGGCTTGTGAATGGTGGTTACACAAGATCCTGCTCCCCAGATGCTGTTTTATTTTGTGCTAGTACTGGGGCTTGAATTCAGGGTCTGGGCAATGTCACTTAGTTTCATCACTAAAGGCAGCCACTTTACCACTTGTACCACATCTCCACTTCTAGCATTTTGCCAATAGAGGTGAGTCTCACAGATTTTTCTGCCGGCTTCTAAACAAGATCCTCTGATCCCAGTCTCCCGAATAGCTAGGATTACAGGCATGAACCCAAACCCCTGCTCTATTTTTGAAGGTGAGGAGAGAAAGCAGCCCAGAGCCTCAGCAGATTCCATATTCCAGAGCCTTTAGTAAGGACTCAGTAGACACAAAACTGGAAAGCTGAGGCTTCACAGGTATGGAAGGGTGATGTGGCCGCTTGGACTTCAGTCTCAGGTCATGTGACTGTTTATACAAGGCACAGTGCACATGTGGCCAGCAGGTCTGTGCACCTGTGCTCGGCCTGAATCCTCATGTACACTCCTGATCTTCACTGGTTTCAATCAGCCAAAGTGATTTTTAAAACTATTTTCAAGCCCAGCTCCTGTCCTCTCCAGGGATCAACTGCAGGGAAGGGCCAGACTCTACTCTGAGATAAGCAGCCATTGTGTGGGGTTTGTTTTTGCCTTTGATTAATCGTTAGAGGAACTGTAATCTGGAAATAATCAAGGTCCAGCTACCTGAGCTGCTTCACTAGGCCAGCTTTGCCTAGGCCTTCCTCAGCAGCAAAGGCAGAGGTTTCCTTTTCCAGTTGCGTAACATGCTCAGAGTGTTCCCCAGCCAAGGACAAGGTACAGGTTTTCTGGTCTTCATCTGCATTGCCCTGTAAAGTATGGTGTCACACATACTTGTACTGAAGAGAAAGGGTCATTTTGCTCAGGCTGAATGCACCCCCAGAACAGCCAGTAGTAAACTTGAAAATGACATATAGGATCAATGGCTACTAAAGGAACACACACAAGACAGTAAGAGAAAGAACAGGAAATGTGTTGACATGGCCTGTGTGGCTTCTAGGAAATGCCCAAACCAGAAGCCTGGAGTGGTTACTGGAACTTGGGGGTGAGTCTCAGAGCCAGAGTGAGGTGTCCCTGCCAGAGGAGGCCCTAGTTCTGGTCCTTGCCTTTAAGACAGTGGATCATGCCATCTTTCTTTCTTTTTGCTCACTACAGGGGTTTGAACTCAGGGGTTTGAATTCAGGACCTTGAACTTGATCAGCTGGTACTTTATCATGAGACACACTACCAGCCCTGCTTTTTACTGGTTATTTTGGAGATGGAGTCTTGTGAGTTTTTTCTCTTGAATCATTATTATCCAGGTTTCAGCCTCTTGGGTACACAGGATTACAGGCATGAGCCACATCCTTCACCAGCACCAGTTCTCAATCCATCTTTCTTTAAGGCCTACGTCCTGTCACAGAGTACTAAAGCCAAGAGGCCCCATAGCCTAGAGTGACAATTGGATCATCATGCCCTCTGCAGGACAGAAGGTGCTATGACCCAAGTAGTGCATGAGGAGCAGCACAGATCATCTCTGGTCTGGAAGATAACAGGAAGTAACAGGGAGAGATACCATGGACACTGAAGTAGCTGGAACTTTCTATTTTTTCCCCCTAGTAGAGGGGATGGAACCCAGAGCCTATTATGTGCTAGGCAATTGTTCTACCACTTGATCCACTCCCAGCCTTTCTTGTTTTTATTTAAATTATTCTTGGACAGGCTTAAATTTTATTATTTTTTTTTGGTGCCAATCCTGGAGTTTGAACTCAAGCCCTGCGTGCTCTCCCTGAGCTTTTTCACTCAAAGCTAGGGTTCTATCACCTAAGTCAACACTGCTCTACTTCTAGCTTTTTGGTGGTTAATTGAAGATTTGAGTCTCATGGATTTTTCTGCCCAGGCTGGCTTTGAACCAGTCCTTAGATCTCAGCCTCATAAGTAGTTAGAATTACAGGAGTAAGCTGCTGGTGCCCTGCTTAAATTTTATTTTTAATTAGCACACATTAATAATAGAAAGGGGTTTCATCATAATTTCTTAGAGCACACTTTGATCAAGTTCACCCCTCTGTTATATTCTCAAATCTCCCTTCTATTTACTTTAAGACAAGGTTTTGCAATCTATCTCAAGATGGCCTCAAACTCTTTTGGTTATCCTATCTTAACCTCCCAGTAGTTGAGATTACAAACTGTGGGCCACTGTATCCAGATACTCCTTTTTTTTTTTTTTTGGTCGGTCTGGGCCTGGGCATTGTCCCTCAGCTCTTCAGCTCAAGGCTAGCACTTTATCACTTGAGTCACAGCATTACTTCCAGTTTTCTGAGTGGTTTATTGGAAAGCCCGGGCTTTCCTGCCTGGGCTGGCTTTGAACAGTCATCCTCAGATCTCAGCCTCCATAGTAGCTAGGATTACTGGCGAGAGCCACTACGTCTGGCAGACACTCCTTTCTTGGAGACAAAGATTTCAACACAGGCTTGTTCTGTTATTTATCTGTAATCCATTAAAAAAATTCTGCCAAGGGTACCAGTGGCTCACATCAATCCTACCTACTTAGGAGGCTGAGATCTGAGGACCAAAGTTTGAAGCCAGCCTGGGCAGAATGTGTGTGAAACTCTTTTTTTTTTTGGGTCCAGTCAAGGGGCCTGAACTCTGGGCCTGGGCGCTGTCCCTCAGCTCTTCAGCTCAAGGCTAGCACTCTACCACTTGAGCCACAGCGCCACTTCCAGCTTTTTTCTTTTTGCTTATGTGGTGCTGAGGAATCGAACCCAGGGCCTCATGCATGCAAGGCAAGCGCTCTACCACTGAGCCACCTTCCCAGCCCATGTGTGTGAAACTCTTATCTCCACTTAACCACAGAAAGCCAGAAGTGGAGCTGTGGCTCAAGTAGTAGAGTGTTAGCCTTGAGCACAAAAAGTCAGAAACAGTGCCCAGGCTCAGAGTCTAAGCCCCCAAAATGATAATAAATAAATAATACAAGAAACAGCATTTGAGTCATGAAATAATGGGCTATTTTGATTTTCTGTATTAAAAAAAACAGATTGGGGATGTAGCAAGAAAGTATAGTCCTTGTCAAATATATTGTTTGATCCCCAGCATCACACACACAAAAAAACAAAAAACAGGGCTGGGAAGGTGGCTCAGTGGTAGAGTGCTTGCCTAGCACGCATGAAGTCCTGGGGTCGATTCCTCAGCACTACATAAACAGAAAAAGCCGGAAGTGGCTCTGTGGCTCAAGTGGTAAAGTGCTCACCTTAAGCTGAAGAGCACAGGGACAGCGTCCAAGCCCCACGACCGACCAAAAAGAAATCAATAAAAATCCTAAAGTAAAGGCCTGATTCAAGTGGTACAATGTCAGGCAACAGTAGAAAAACCTGAGGAAGAGTGCATGAGCCTTGAAGTTCAAACCCCACTATGAACACACACACACAAATAACAAATTCCTAGTAAATGTAACAAATGAATATCTAAAGGAGCCAACATGGACATACAGGCCTGTAATCCTGGCACTTGGGAGGCTAAACCAGGATCAAAATTCAAGGCCAGTTTGGACCACATAATGAAACTGTCTTAAAAATAGAAACAGGCCGGGCAACGGTGGTTCACGCTAGTAATCCTAGCTACTCAGAGATCTGAGAATTGCAGTTCAAAGCCAGCCCAGTCAGGAAAGTCCGTGACTCTTATCTCCAATGAACCACCAGAAAACCAGAAGTGGTGCTATGGCTCAAGTGGTAGAGCACTCACCTTGAGCTGAAGAGCTGAGGGGCAGTGCCCAGGCCCAGAGTTCAAGACCCATGACCGACCAAAAAAAAAAAAAGAATTGGGAACATGGCTCAAAGTGGTAGAGCACTTGCCTCGCATGCTGAGACCCTAAGTTGCAAATACCAGTAGTATAAGACATACTTAAAAAA